TCCATCTGGCTTCCAAGTTTAGGCCTGGAGATGCAGGAAGAGGAAGGCTGGGGGTCTCCTGATGACCTCACATCCCCTTGTCCTTGTCCTCTGCATGGACGGGGCCGGGAATAGCAGCGAGGCGGCCGCCCCATGGGGAGGAGATCCTGTGGTAAGGCTCCTGAGTGCAGCCGGAGCGAAAGGCGCCTCCAAGAATCCAGGTGAGAGCAGGAACCTGGGGAGACTGGAAGGCAAGCAACGGCAGGTGGGCACCTGTGAGTGAACCAGGGAGAGACAGGGACCCAAGGAGTGGGTGGCATCTTGTGCTGGATGTGGGGAGCAAGCAGGGTGATGGGGCAGATGACAGGAAGCTGGGCAGGTCCAGGAAAGGGGTTAGGGAGATGGAGCACCCTTGGGAGAGTGGCTGTGATATGCTGTGACCCATCTGGCAGCTGCTGGAGAATCAGAGGCGAGGGCTGGGGCACACAGCTGCTTTTGTTGAGTGACAAGTTCCCAGCAGAGGGAACCTGGTGCTGTTGGCGGTGGGGACAGCCAGGGGTGTCAGGGAAGAAGAAGGGGCCTCAGGGGAAAGGCACCTGCTTGGTATTTCAGAGCTGGCCTGGTGCTCTAGGGCGGTTGCACAGATGGGTGTGGATGCTGAAGTTCCACCAGCGTCTAGCAGGGCCAGGGGCACCGTGACGGCCTGGATATTGGAGTAAGGAAGATAAATCCTGGCAAGAAGCAGAATGCCGCAGGTAAGCCTGGAAGTGTGAAGGAAGGTGGAGATAAACCCTCCTTTTGACAGCAGCGGAGGAGAGTCTGAGGAGGAGCAGGCCCTGTCGGGGAGGCCGCCCTGGCATCTGCCGCATTTGCTGTTGGAATGTGATCCCTTTTATTTTAGTCCCCATTTTGCATAAAGGTCAGCCATGTTGACTCAGCAGAACAGCAGGTGCCACGAGTCATCCAGCCACAGCACAGCTGGGACCAGCGCTGGAGTTTTCTTGCCTCCCAATTCAGCGATCTTTTCCTGAACTGTAGCTGTTTTAGTTTTCACATAAAAGTCCTTGATTAAGACTGTGGATTTCAATTTTAAAAGAGCCACCTTGATCATTAACCCTTTGAGGTTTCAAAGAAACTTCTGGAATGAAAAACGTGGTCTGACGTGGACACCCAACGCCAGTAGACTTCTCCCGTGGTCCCCTCATGATCCCGGCGGCCTCCTGAGTGGGGCGAGGCTCAGCGTTGGTTAGGATCAGGTACAGAAAGAAAACCAGAAACAAGCAGTGTCACAAGGATTTAACTTTCTGTGACGTGAAAAGTGAGGGACACTGGACTTCATGCCGCGTTGTCACACCAGGCAGGCCCAGGCCTGTTACATCAAGAAGCCGCGTCAGATTTCACTCACTGGATGGTTGGTTCCTCGACTTGAATGATTTCTGGGTCTGTCTGAAGTCAGCTGGGCAGATGGCTCTGTCTCGTTTAGTGATGAGCTTAGGAAAGAGATCAGTGGGATTTTCAGGACCACGTTGGGGGAGTCTAGCTTTGCGTTCATCTACTGGTGATTGTCACAAGATACTAATTCGTAAATACACAACTAAGTACACACTGGCCATGCCTGGCCTCTGTTTATCTTGATGGCGTGGCCATCCAGTGACGGTGCCAGGGTACGGGACCTCGTGAGAAGCCCCTTGCTGCTCAGAATGCAGCTTTCTCTTAGGCAGGGGTCACAGACTCAGGACCGGCAGGGCTCTGTGAGCTTCACTTCATTCAGGATACATGGGCTCACGTTAGGTGTGCGTTTAGTCCTGGTTTGCAGACAGCCTGTGGGCAAGTGGTCTGTCTGTTTGTAATGGTCCCTGCGCTTCTTTTGAGATGCACCCACCCACACCCTGCCCCACAGCTGCCCGAGCTGTGCTGCACCCCACAGACTCCGTCCTGGGCATCACCAGGGCTGAGGATGAGGAGCTGCAGGAGCCAGGGTTTTGGCAGTTCCCCGTTACTCAGCTGGACACATTCATTGCAGTTGTTGATGCTGTAAAGACAAGAGTACCCCATGATTTTGAGGTTTCTCCTCCAGTTGTCTCTTCTTGCGCATACGTTAATTGGGACCGTAGAGCATGTGTCTTGCTTCTTAATGTCACAAAGTGTTTTCGCATGTTACTGAAATAACAGTTGCTTGTAGCTGCTGCGTTGTGGCCGTTGCATGGTTTGCTTAATCATTTCAGAGTAAATGTCGGACTTTCCATGATGGCAAATGACGGCACCACATGTCCTCTTTTGCACTCCATTTCCCCATCCTGCTTCTGGTTTAGGCTTGATCACTTCCTGGAAGTGGATGTACTGAGCTACGCACATGTCTCTGACCTTTACATGTAGTAAAGAAGGTCGTGCCAGCTCCCACTCGTACAGGATAGAAGTGTCTTGTTTAGGGCAGGGACAGGCATGTGCAGCTGCCTTAGGATGGGGGCTGCATACATCAGACCAGCCGTGTGACATGGAGTGCGGACTTCGAGTGATGCAGATTCAGTCAGTCCATCGGTCATGTCTGTGTGACTGAACACACAGGCTCCGGGCACTTCCCGACTTGGCAGTGCTCCAGGGTGTCACAGTCCTGCTGGGAGGGTAACTGTCTGGACTCCACAGAGCGAGGTTCCAAACTCTGCTCAAGGTGCTGGGCCCCACCCTGCCCTGGGTGCCTCTATTCTTGAGTCTTGGGGACGGTCCTCTGCCCTTGCAGTTTGGTTAACTCCAGATATGTTAAGAGAGAAGAGAGAAGCTGTGGCAGGAGGCTCAGGGTCAGCACCCCCATATCCTCCTTCCTGGCACACCTGGGCCGTCTGTTTCCTGATCCAAGACCACAGAGTATGTGGCCTCTGCTCGGCTTTGGTGAGGAGGGGTGGCCTGGGCACTGTCCCTCCTCTGCTCAGCTTTGGTGAGGAGGGGTGCCCTGGGCACTGTCCCTCCTCTGCTCAGCTTTGGTGAGGAGGGGTGCCCTGGGCGCTGTGCCTCCTCTGCTCAGCTTTGGTGAGGAGAGGTGGCCTGGGCGCGCTCGCTCCTCTCCTCAGCTTTGGTGAGGATGGGTGGCCTGGGCACTGTGCCTACTCTGCTCGGCTTTGGTAAGGAGGGCAGGCGCACCCCCATGAGAGTTCTGCAGCTTGAAAGAGACTGTTTCTGCGGAACGTTGTGATTGATTATTTTGTCAGTCATTTCATTAAAAAGGTTTTCAGCATATGTGTTTCTCATTTGCAGGTGTGGAACCCAAGACACTGTGTGTTAGGGCTCCACCTCCACCCCACGATGCCCCCCATGCCCCTCCCCCATGCTGTTTCCCAGGGCCGCGTCCAAGGCCACCACCCCTGTTTGTACTTGCGCTTGAGGACTGAGATGAGCGGCCTGGTAAAATGAGTTCCCAGGCTGTTTGCTTGTGTTTCATAAGGCAGTGTCTTCTCTTTGGGAGGTGCGCCCTACCCTCACGTGCCTCCTGGGGCCGCGCCCTGTTGCAGGTTGTTATGGAGCGAGCGCCTTTTCTTCTCCTCTGCTCGGCGGTCTGATACGCTCGCTCAGAAGTGGGAGCAGGCTGGGGAGAAGGAAGCGGGGTGAGACGAGGCTCTTCGTGCTGCGTGGTAGCCTCCAGGCCCTGGTTTCTTTTAAATGGTGGGAATCCTTGATGACGCCCATCCTGCCCCACCCACAAAGCTACTGACAGGTACTTCTCAGACATCTGCCCTGGCCAGCAGCCTGACCGTAAAACCTTGATGTTGGGTACACTCAGGTCTCCCGTGTGGAGGTCAAAATTTTTCTTGAATTTGGAAATCTTTGTTTGAGACTTCTAGCATTGTTTGAGCAACAGTGCTGCTTTAGAATATTATACCAATTTCTCATTTTTCTTGTTCTATCACTGAGCCTATTTTAAGGAAATAAGATGTTATTTTTGTTCCTAAAGGAAGAGGCATTTAGTGGGAGGAAAAAGCATGTGTTGAAGAATTATATTAAGAAGCTTGCTTAGGCTGGGCATGGTGGCTCACACCTGTAATCCCAGCATTTTGGGAGCAGGAGGCGGGAGGATCACTGGGCCAGGAGTTCCAGAACAGCCTGGGCAACACAGCGGGACTCCAACTACAGCAGTTTGAGAAAAGAATCACACTTGACTCAGCTGCCCTGGATTCCTGACCCACAGCCTCTGACTGTTATTCCTATGAAGACGGTGCCGTCACATGGATCCCCACAATGGGAATCACTGATCTGCTCGGTCTTCTCAGTAGCGGGATCATACTCATGGCTCTGAACATGAGGCGTTTGGTTTTCCATCCTGAGTGACTTCATTTAGAATAATTGCCTCCATCTCCATCCCAGTTGCTGCGGAAGTCATGGTTTCGTCCTTCTCACGATTGAGGAGTGGTCCTTGGTGCCATCCGCCATGTGCGAAGTGCAGCAGCCTCATCCCCTCCCACTCTGTCATGTTTGCTCTGTGATCTGCCATCACTGGGCACCTCTCATGTGCTTGTGCATTTGCCTGTTGCCTGTCCCTCCCCCAAGACCCGGCTCTCCGAGGACAGGGCCTGGGCACACGCTGGCAGTCCCCACATATCTGTTGCGGCATCGGCTGCGGGTTGAATACGTGGGAGTGAAGTAGACTTGTGGGTGAGACTCCCCTGGCATGGAACATGCGCCTCCACAGCATTCGCGGGCTGAGGTGTGGGCCGGCGGGGCCCGGCGTGCACTCCTTTCAGTACACACCACGGACTGTCCAGCCAGCGGTCCACAGGAACCATGTGTGACCAGCTGGCCTTGGTGTGCACGTCTGGGGTCATGGGAAGCAGCAGCCTTTTTGGAGGTATGCGGGGAGGGGGAAGCTACAAATGGCGGTTGAGCTCTGAACTGTGAGAGTTTGATTCTCCTGGCTGCGTTGAACCTCTGCTCAGAGCCTTTCGCCACCCGCGCCCTTTTTCCTTGCAAGCTCTGCTCCATTGCCTGCTCTCAGAGCCATGGCATCACTCATGAGAATGCGCCCTGTCTTCTAGAATCCCTGGCCGCCTGAATGACAGGAGGACGCCCCTGGGCGAGCTGAACTGGATCTTCACAGCCATCACAGATACCATCGCGTGGAACGTGCTCCCCCGGGGTGAGGCGCGGGCTGGGCCTTGGGGAGGGAAGGTATGGCCTTGGAAGCGCCGAGAGTGACTCTCGGACATGAGAGAAGTCGGATGGGATCAGGGAGCACTAGCGAGGAAGACAGTGGGAGGGGCTGAAAAGGAGAAGACAACCACCTAAGGCGGTTTCTGCTGGCAGTGGTGAGTTCCAGGACACCAGTTCTCCGCACGGTGTGCGGAGAGACGCCATGTCAGCATTTGCCCTGACTGGTAGCGCAGCCTTCACTGGGCAAGGGCGGCTTATCTATAGAGTCATCGGCATTATTCACATTTGCTGAAAACCAAATGTGAATAGGACTCGTTCATATTTTTTGTGTACTGATTGGTTGATTTGGGGTGTTTGTTTACATGTATGTATGTATGCACTGTGTACGCATATACATGCGTGCAAGTGTACATGCATGTGTATTTGTGTGCGTGTATTTGCATATGTGCGCACATGCTTGTGTGTTCATGTCTGTGCATATATGTATATATCTAATACATATGTGTGTACATGCATGTATTTTTGTGTGCATGTGTGTTTGTGCGTGTGTGTGTGTTGCTGATGGGAAATATGCATATTAGTCCCGACTTGTCTTTAGTAATTTTTGATGGTAGTGAATGTGTGTATTTGGCTTTAAATGATAGACACGAATCACTAAGGACTTCTTTCCGTCTTCTGTCTGCCCTCAGATCTCTTCCAGAAGCTCTTCAGACAGGACTTGCTGGTGGCTAGTCTGTTTCGAAATTTCTTACTGGCAGAAAGGATCATGAGGTCGTACAACTGCACTCCTGTCAGCAGCCCACGGCTGCCGCCCACGTACATGCATGCAATGTGGTGAGTGTCTCGGGTGGGGTCCTCCGGGTGCTGTGCTCCCCGCCCTCTGCCCCACTGTGATCTGATGGAATTACACAGAGCCAGGCAGGGGTGCTCCAAACCTAACTTGGGGGCCCTGTGTGGCATTAATAAGTGATGCTAAATGCAGTGCTCCTGGAGACCTCCACGCTGAGGAGCGGGGGTCTCCTTCCGAGGGTAGAAGCCTGGGAGGGCCTTTCCAGATTACACGAGAGCAGAGCCGACTGAAGCCTCACAGCTCCACAACTCGGCGCTTTGTAAGAGAGTTTCTAACCTTTCAGAAACCAGCGGTGAGAAAATAACTTGCTGACTTGAATTTATGAAGCACATCCAAGATAGCTCTGGAGAATTAAACTGTTGGGCTCATGACCAATTAGTTTTTATGCTTATTTCTCACACACACACACACACATGCTCACGAATGTCATCTTTTATGACTATTGATTATAGTCTTCTCCCATTGCTGAGTTGTTGCTATTTATACAGCTACTAATAGTAGTAACAGTAATAGCGATGGGGTTGGTTTTTAGTCTAGACATTATATCTGAAGACATTTGGTTTCTTTCTGTTCTGTGGCCATCCTAACAGAAGCAGGTTTGGGCAAATTCTAAAATGGTATTAAAACAAAGGAAAAATAGTTCTGTTCATCAGTGTGAGAAACCCTAACACAAATATTTTTAAACGAGCAGTTCACATATGCCAGCTCAGAAACCATTGTGTGGCATGTTTTCCTGATCCGGTCTGTTTTAGCCTGTGTTTTCTTCTTGAATATCTACATGACCACCTTCCCTCAGCACAGGAAACCCAGAGAAGCAAGAAGGGAATCAAACTCGCTACCCATCACCTACTTCAGAAAAGCTCCAAATAATCTAATTTTCAATGGTATAAATACTTATATGAGATAGATCAAAATACATTATACCCAGCACAGCACTCGGACTTTATACAGAAGAAATTAAAGCATGCATGATCTGTATCCTTCTTAAGAGTCTGTAAGATTAAACAGAACCCTGATAAGGAAAAAAAAAAAATAGAAGTAGACCATTTAAATAATGTGTAATTAAATAATGTGTAAATACACCACAGACATATTTCTCACGAGTCCATGAATAACAGAGCTGTAAAAGAGAGAGTTGTTTGAAAAGCCTGTGCAATACTTAGAATAAATATTTAAAATTAACCTTTTTTAAAATAAATACTTAGAGCAGTTTTGAAAGAGTATATCCTCAAAATGGCCTTATTCCTTTAAAAAAAAGTACAGCCTTAAATCCTGTCTCTATTTCTTCTGAGACAGGTTTTTGTAATAAATTTATTATAAAAAGGGAAGGAAAAAGACAAAGAAAAAAAGAGCTGAAGGGGTCAGTGCCGCATAAGATCCTGGATGAAAAACTAGTTCAGCACTGGGAGCCGGCTGAGTTCTCACAGCGGGACCTCATGGTGTCTCCAGGTTTGCAGGCTCCTGTCGTTCCTCTTACCAGGAATCAGTCCATGGGAACCTTTTTCCGTCTGGCGTGTGCTTTCTCCAGATGTAAAGGCACCGCCTATCTGATATGCTCAGCTGCGCACAGTTAAAGACAGTGGCATCACACTGGAGTTCGTGGTCAAAGACCGGAGCCTGAGCACAGAGAGCAGCCGAGGGTGGGCGGCCGAGGACGGGTGTTGAGAGGAGCGCATGCGCTGAGGACGGGTGCTGGGAGGAGTGCATGGCGAGGCCAGCCACATCCCACCTCTCCATCTAGAGACTGCTTTCTAGTACTGGCCCCTGGGAAGCTTTCTGAGTGCCAGCGTTTATACCCGTGCTGCTTTATAGAAGGTCCTAGTCTAGGCCTAGCTGTAACCTCTCCCGGCCCTGCGGGGCCGCCCTTTCCTGCCCCGGAAAAGGCTGGCTGTTCTGCAGACTCGGCTCCCCGGAGCCTCACGGAGGCAGCCCGCGTCGTGCTTATTTGTTGCACTCAAGACTCATGAGATGAGGTCATGATCCACAGAGGCACAGAAAACCTGGGGACAGCATCGCATTGGTGCTTGGCAGCCCCTGCTTCCTCACGGTCACTGTGGATGCTCAGGTTTTTCTGCTTTCCTGGTTCTGGCCTCCCTGAGTGTGTCAGGGGCTCTGCTTGGGCTAGTGTGCACCTTGAGTGATCCAGCCCGCATGGCCCGTCATCGGCGCTACGTCCTCCCACTTCCCTTTTGGGCACATTATCCTGGTTGTTTCAGGGTGGGCTCTGTGGGAGCAGGCAGAGACGGAGGCTGCTGTCATGATGCTGCTCCTGAGTGGGCCATCCCCGGGTCAGCGGTGGAGGGCTGGACAGAGAGAAGCCAGGCTCACCTCCGCCAGCCCTGGGGGGCCCTGAGGGTGGGATGGGAGGTGAGTGGGCTGGCCTGCATTCTGCATTGGTCATCACACACAGGCCACCCACAAGAGGGCTTGGCAGCTGTGAGCTGCCTGCCTGTGGTGCCCCCAGCAGCTGGGGCAGGAAAACCTTTATCCTGAAGGGGGTCCCGGCCCCCTCCCTCACCGTATCTTCCTGTAAGAGAAAATCTCGCCTGCCTTACCTGGGGCTGCTGTTATCCCGCAAGCCCCATTTCAATGAGGCCCTTGAGGGATGAGGAAGCACAGCGCAGATGTGCTCCTCCGCAGGCTCATGATCCATGTGCAAGAAACACATTTCCTTCCTCATCCACGAAAGTGACTCTTCCCGGTCGGCCATGCAGAGCTTGTCACCAGGCCGTGCCAAGGCCTGTGGCAGTGACCTCAGAGCTGGACAGAAGACAGCGCCGGCAGCACCTGGCCACTGGTACAGCCACCGCCAGCAGCTAGAGCTTCCAGCCGGCCCAGGTGCAATGGAATGGACTCTGTTCATGTAGAATTACAGCAGCGACCCCTCAGTTCCAAGGCTGGGGCAGGGTGGTCCCTGGCCTCCTCCTGGTCCCTGGCACCCTTCTGCTGGGTGTCGCTGTGTCCCCATGGTTGGGTTTGATGGACATCGCAGATGAAAACTGAAGAAGAAGCAGACCGGGGTGGTGAAGGGCAAGGCTCCTTAAGGCAGGGGGCGGTGCGCTGTGCTGTCGCCGCTGGACACTGGGCACACCTGCAGGCTCCACCAGGCATGCAGAACTTGGCCCTGTGGATGCAGATGGCCAGGGTGGCTTTGGGGTTTCACCTTTTCACCTTCATGTGGCAGAAGGAACATTGTGCACTTTGGATTTGTTTTCCTTTTTATTTCTTAAACTCACACCTTGCACACGCATCTGCGTCCTACCCTGGTGACTGACGTGAGCACGATGGGAGCATTTAGTCAGCCACTTGGCCTGTGGGAAGGAAGAGGTGAACAGGAGTGACTCATGGCAGGCGTGACCTCCAGGCTTCGTGGCAAAGCAGGAATGACTCACGGCAGGCGCGGGCTCCAGGCTTCACGGCAAAGCAGTGAATGTGGACACCCAGGGGAACAGCTGTGCTGAATTGAAGAAGATTTGCGCTAAAAGAAGAAAACCTAATTCACAGATTACATCCATGTCGTGGCTCTTCTGGTGGGTGCTTCCCTCTGCTTAGTAATAGGATCCCTCCAGCAAACTCATGGAAAATAGAATTTGCAGGCAGAAACAGCATTAGGGAGGGTGCTGGCCATCTACTCCTGTGTGACAGCAGTGTCATTGCAGACCAGCACGCAGCCTCCAGGTCCAGTTCCCGCTGGGGGACTCAGCCACGTCCTCTGTGCAGGGTCCCACCAGGTTAAGGCCACCTTCACAGTTAAGACCACCCACTGTCCCCACCAAGTGGGGAGGTCCTTGGCCTCCCGCCCCTAAGAACCACAATAGGAGCCAGGTGCTGCAGGCTCGTCTAGTGCCACACACAGTCACGGCAGCCATCACCTTCGCCATATTCTGCTGGTTGAAAGCAGCCTCAGATCCCACCTGCACCTCCAGGAGGGGCCGTGCCTGGGATGGGGATCCTGGGGCCAGGTTCTAGCCTGTCCTCCTCAGCTGGAAAACAGCACTGGGGTTGGAGAGGGTGAGCGTAATGTCGCAGAGCCCAGAGAACGATCTGACCACAGCTGCCCTGTGGCACACCAGTCACTGCTGTCACGGGTGGTCATGTGAGAACAGGAATTCCAGCAACGGATGGAATAAGCACCTGCTGGCTGCATGTCGGGCATGTTCTCTAGTTTACACCTATTAAGCCATCTCGCCTCAGAGCAGGTGCTGCCGTGAAGCTATGATTTTTGCTCTCAATATGCCCATTTTACTGATGAGAATCTGAGGTGAGTGAGGAACCGCATGGAAAGGCCAGCCGTGGCTCCAGCCGTCTAGCACCAGCCTGCTCCATGCTGACTTAGTGGCATGTGTGCCACATCATGGTACGTACGTGCGTGAGCTTCTGTTTCAGGCACATCCCTGGGACAGGAGTTCACCCGGGCAGCAGTGGCATTTAAGCAGAGAGCAAAGCTCTTGTGATCTCTTGTTACACATGGCCGCTGTGCTGGCGGATCCCAGCATCGCTGTCAGCTTGAGGAAGCTTTCCCAGTGTCCGAACGAGTCTTATCAGGCAGAGAGGAGCAGGGAGCGGTACTGCTGCCCCAGGATCCAGTGTAAGGTCTCAGGAAGGGCGTGCCTCACATGAGGACCCCATAGCAGGTGGCGTTCCTTGTATTTTGCAGTCAGCCACATCCCACCAGCAGGGACAGAGCCCTGGAGTTTTCCCTCCAGCTGGACGTGAGAGGTGGTTGGGGAGTTCACAGCCCTGTCCTGGCATTCGAATCATCTTGGTGACTCCTGCCCATCGATGCCCGGCTGAGACCTGCCTGGCTGGGGCCTGCCCTTGGTTGGGACCTTCCTGACCTCAGGCCCCTGAGACCTGGCCACTGCCTGGCTTGACGGCCTTTACAGTGCTGGCCCTGATGGCCAGCTACCTGCCTGCCCACCGCTCACCCTGCCTTTGGATGCCCCACCCCTTTGCCCTGCAGCCACCCGTGACCTGGCTCAGG